GAGCCTCTGCATGCAACTGGCTACACTGGGTTCACGTTTATACGTTGGTTGCTGCAGCAGGAGCTGATGGCCAGGCAGCTGTGCTGTAACCTCAGTGCCAATGCACCCGGGCTGGAAGCAAAACTATGCTCAGGTGCCAGGAGCGGTTGCAGTCAGCACTGGGCAAATACTTTGGGCACCCAGGAAAGTTGACAGCCAGGTGCAGGTGCTGAAAATGAGCAGAGCTGGGTCACCACATCCTGTGGTGTCCTGGGAAAGCAATGGGCTGATGGCTCCTGTCTGCTCAGGATGGGAAGGCAGGCTGTGAACCCAACCACTTCCAACAGTGGTTTGCTGTAACGCCACAGAGCCGACCATAAGGATCCAGCAAGGGGCAACTCACTGCCCCAGGTCTGAGTGCGTCCCCTACGCTCTCACCTAAAAACATAGATAATTCCCGACCTCAGAAAGGCACCAGGAAGACAACTAAATTGTGGTCCTTAATCTGAGCCAGCCACATCATGAGCATTAGCCGTGTTATTTTCAACACCCAATTGCACAAAGTCATTGCAATGACAACAGATATACGTGCAGATATATACTGGTGGACACAGATCCCACCCTACAGTGAGATGCAAGCACAGTGGAGGTGCACTTGGTGGTGATGACCAGCTCTCAGCACTGCTCTTGCTGGGGTTGGGCAGTTATGTACACATCAAATACATCTTCTGAAAAGGGAAAAGTTATTTATAATAGGCTGCACTGACTCTTTGCAACTATAAAAAAGGACCAAACTGCATTGTTTTGTTGGAAAACAATACCAATATGAAAAAAACACCTCCATCAGTCTGTTCAGTGAGAGTCATTTTCCTCCTGGCCATCGGGGACAGCTGGGTTATGCAGTATTGCATCCCCCTGGCAGGATGCTGTTGAGGTGACTGGGTGACTCCTGTGCAGCTATCTTCCAAAGGAACTTGGGCATCCCATGGAACTGAAGGCACAGAGAGCCTGGTGCAGTGTCAAGTGAAGAGGCAACCCCACTACAAATAGTGAGGTGGCTCTTGACTCTGATAGGAAACAGGGAAGGAATAAATGGAAATTGAACAAGCTCTTCAGAAAGCATCAGGGCACTGGCAGCTCCTGATGCTGAAGGATCACAGTGAAATTCAGCTTTGGGATCCTTCTCTAGCAAACATGAATTCTTCCTCATACCCCTTTTCAAGGCTCGGGCTCTGACGGAGTTTCCTATGGTGCAGCACAGAGGAGGAGCTCCATTCCTGCCTGTCCTTTGCCTGCCTTCAGAATGAGGGGGAGTGCCACAGTGGTCCTACATTCACCCTCATCTTACAGAACAGTCTGGTTGTATGACCAATTCTTATATCTGATATTTTTACTGTCTTTAGAAACTTTGGCTAAAATAATCCCAAGGTTTTCATATTGTTTTATAGTAAATTATTATAAAATAGTCAGCATTCATTCTAATATCTTATCAAATGACAGAAGGCTCCAATCACAAACTGTAAAAATTCAAGATGTGATATGTGAGTTAGTTAAAAATCAGTAAGCATTTGATGTTGCATTGCAATTCATTTCCAGGTGGCACAGATACAAAAATCGGCTTATTACTGCAATAGAGAAAGGTTAATTCATTATGAACTATTAAATTGGTGTCTTCTTTCCTCAAAAAGGTATCAAAGAAAACATAAAATGGTTTGTGTCACAAACATCATAGAACCATAGAATGGCCTGGGTTGAAAAGGACCACAAAGATCATCTAGTTTCAACCCCCTGCTATGTGCAGGGTCACCAACCACCAGGCCAGGCTGCCCAGAGCCACATCCATCCATACAATTTTTTGGCACAGCAAGTTTGTCACAAGAGAAAAATATTTACTATTGTTTACTATTTATACATCATTCTGATAAAATACCTATCCACAAAGCACATGGGATGAAAGAAACTGGATTCCTTAGACGTGCTATCAAATACTGCACACAGATCTATCCAGATGCCATCCATGCAACTGCTAATGTCACCATTAACAAGTTTAGCATCATAGATACTTCTGCTTCCTCGAAGTGAGTTTGAAACCTAACAGGCATTAGCACCCATCTCTTCTCCATCAGATAACAGGTAACCTCACTGCTTGGAAGGCAGGACTGCATATGAGTTATAAGCCAGGAAAACAGCAACACGGCTAGCAGACAACCCAGCTGCATCCACTGACTGCAGGAGCATCTCTGGAAGCAAGGCTAGCGAGACACAGCAGAAGCTCTAGGAATCAGAGGCACAGGAATTTCTTACACCTTCACAACAAGAAACACCAGTGGAGTTGTTTGTTTGTTTAATAAAAGCTCGCAAGGCACATGTTTCAACTGAATTGCAACATCTACAGCAAAACAGATAAAAATTTGCAAAACATTTCCCCCAACCCTCTCAGGAACTGAAACCCACGACCTGGGTTGAAAACCGAGCTGGGGTTGTGTGCACCAGTCAGATGTGGCTATGCCCCACGGTTGTCCTTCCGAGGGATATCACAGAACTTACTGTTTCCATCTTTTCCCACATAAGGTGGAGACTAGAGCATACAACAGTATTTTTGCTAATCCATAACTGGATAAGAAATTCAAGAATATCATTTTCTTCACAAGATATGAATCTTCCATGCCTTCCGACCAGGACAGCAGCGACGTTTCCCCCAGCAAAAGGCTCCTTCTCTGTTACTTAAGGCTGCTGCGCCAATGATGCTGCTATACAATCTTCTCTAATATAAAAAGCAAGGTAAAAATCTTAAATGATTCTCCTTATACAGAATCGATTGAAGTATCAAGAATACATCTTTATGACAAAACTAATAATAACTATGTCACAGTTCAAATAAAGTTCAACATGTTCATTCAAACATGTATAAAGGCCAATGTGCTACAACATATGTAATTTCCTTAGATGTATGGTTGGCCTCATTTGTGTTTTTCTTAACAAACGTGCTCTACATGTAAGTATTCAAACTACACTCCATGTGGTCACACATACACAAAGTGTCGCTGTAAAACACAACAGGCAGTCCAGGATAGTTGATACACTGCATCTTGGTGTGGCATTATAAGGCAAGAAGCCATAAGTTGAGCAGCTTCATCCACCCAAGTGCAATTGTAACCCTGAAATGTGGTACCTGGTATGCCTTATTGCTGGTATGAAATAGTGCTCATGAACAATCAGCTTCAAGAGAGCAGATCACTGACACGTAGATATGTAATTCCAGACAGTGATTCAAACAAATTTAAGTTGTACACAGAACTCTACGCTTACTTTCAATTAGTAACTCCATAGCACATACAAGGTTCCTGATTGCCTGCCATAACCCAAGTTAATTCACAAGCTTATCTTGATATTATAATTGAAAGGTCTGAAACTGTTACAGTGCAGCAAAACATACACACTTGTGCAGAAGCAAATAAACAGGCTGCTTTTGGCCAGAGAGACATTCATGCTATCCTCACACAATGACTGCATCCCTAGAAAGGATATTTACTTCTAACATATAACCCAGTTACACTGATAAATGCTTCTCCCAATGATCGCATCGGGTATTTTCGATGGGTTTATCTAAGCACTGGTTTCAAATAAAATTAACAACTTTAATACTTGGTCTAAATTCACAAGCCTAAAAATATAACCAGATTAAAAGAAAAAACAGATTACAGACTCGTTGACATTTACAACAGTAAAGCTTTTCTCTTTTAAATCACTCGAATAGTGATAATAGATGTTTAGAAACCTCAGCACTATTCTTTAGTGTAAAGTAAACAACATATCTGCATACAGCAGATAGGAATCATGCGCATACATCAACACGTTGCAGTTCCTAACAATTTCAGAGTCAATCCCTCTGAATTTGCATTTTAATCAAGAAATGTAGTAGGGATAGTTTCGCAGCTTTCATTGGCAGAATGGTTGTTCAGTTGAAGGTTCATCCTATTAAGCCAGATGTTTCTTTAAAGACATCCGGACTCCAAAGAATCGTTCCCACATGCCTGACAGACTGGTCTCTGGGCCAGGTGTTACAAGAATCCATAACTACATGCAATTCTTGGTGGTGAGGACTCTCTCCCAGAACTTAAGTCCTGGCATTCTGTCCAGCTGTACCTACATCAGCAAAGTTACGATTACCTTTTGTTGAGTGTTCCATTCACAATACCAGAATTAGGCCCAGAGCTGGAATTAAAGCATCATTCATTCTCTTCAAAGTACCTCAGCTAGCAACAAAAAAGGATGAACGGAAGATTCAAGGAAGTCGTAGAGGCAAAAGGGGTCATATACCAAAGGCAAATTTTGGAGGGAATCAAGACTAGAGTGTTTTCCCATGTTTTCAAAGTTCCCAGCATAGCTGCGTAATTAATGTATAAAAAGCTATGAACTACTGTGCCATTACTGATTAATGATGGTGATGACAGTGTTTAAAATTAGTTCTGACTACCTTAATCTATCACAAAATAATAAGTTGAATGAAATGACCATCATCCATCCCTTGCCATACATACACACACACACACACACACCAGCTTGCACACAGGAGTGAAGAGCAGCAGTCTCAGCAGCAAACCTAGTCGTCATGCTACACTTGTCTGAAGTACAGCATAGTGTTGTATACTGGCCCATTCTGATGGCTGCTAAAACACACATATGCTCACATGCATACATATGTAAGCATGGAAGAATCTTGAAGTCAAGCTCTTTTCAAGCTGAAAATCTGACTTTGTCAACTCCTACAGCTACGTCCAAGTCCAAGCACTTCCTCCAACACGTCTCCAACAATGCAGAGATCAGTGCCCCAGCCTATGGAATTGTTTAAATAACATCTTCCTTATTTGATTTATACAAATACTTTACCTAAACATAAGGTGTATGAACGTGTTCGATAAACAAAGCAGTGTTTATAGTGGAAAAACAGGAAGAATAAAAAAACACAGTAACCAAAGAAAAATATTAGAAATATTAAACAAACCCAAACACTTGAAGACTTAGGATACACCACTTGATTTCTTACTAGAAAATAGAAGCTACATGACTTAAACGAGCTCTTCAACACAACTTTTTCCAAAGTCTATCCACATCAGCTCTCTAACACTGAAGTTAGAAATATCTGTTAAATGAAGATTAAGATGATTTACAATGGGAAGACAAATGCAAGAACATGGAAGACTGTCACACTTTCTTGTGGAGACTTTTTTTGTCAAATTTTCCTGGTTCCTTCAAAGAAGGTATCTGTAACAGTTGGTCTGTAGAGTTCAAACAGTTCCAGTTTGGTGGAAAAAAAAAACAACAAACCCAAAAAACTGGTCAGTACACTGCACCCACATGTATCTGTAAAAATAATTTTCTTAATCAAAAGGAATTTTTCCAGCCGAATTCCATCACAGTCAATCCTCAAAAAAAAAAGCTTGCATGCTTTGTCACGATTGGAAGGATATCACAGTGTTGATCCTATACACAAAGTAGGATCTATTCCAGTATACTCGAGTGAAGTAATTCACATATGGAGAATAGTTCATTTTGATTTCATGACAAAATCGTCCATATTTTGAATAGGCATAACTGTCACCTTCTTCACAAACCACCTGTCAGGAAAGAAGAAAATCGATTAAAATACTGAAGATAAATGACTGCAGAATGCAATTCTGTACGTTCATTTATTTCTGCATTCTGTACATTTCACACTACAGATATTTAATTACATTCCCTTACAATTTGTTTTACCATCTGAAACAGCCTTGTGAATTAATACATCACTTTCCTACCTTTTCCAATTGCAGAAGTTTACAGAGATTTAAAAAAAAAAATAAAGTGGTAAGACAAATTCATGCAGAAATATAAATAAGTAGATCTTTCAGTGTCTCCCAGAACACAAAGATAGTTTCTCTCAGTGAGAAAGTCCTTTAGCAACACACTGCTGGAGAACATTTCTGTCTTGCCCTGTATAAACCATAAAAGCTTATGCTCTTAGCCAGAGTCAGAAATAGGATATTGGGCAACAAAATTTATAGTCCAATTTAGAAGTTACTTAAATTGTATTTAACGATTGGCATAAAAGCAGCACTGCTTGATATTAATGTATTAGAAGGAATTAAGACAGGTAAGGAATAGTAAGAGGTAAGATTACAGTTATGTAAGAAACAGACACCTCAAAAGTGAATGGATCGCTGTTAAGTCTTATGAGTCTTTGTCTACACATTATAATTAGAAAAATAAGATCAACACTACAAGAATGTTTCCTTTAAAATGAATTATTTATGCATTCAAACACTCACTTTTGTCTTGCTGTTACTTACGTGACCATTGGCAATATCCAATAGATCTTTAACTCTACATCCTCTTACAGGTCCCACTTCATTGCAAATTGAATCTTCAATGATCAAAAAATTGGCTTTGTAGGATGTGAGAATCTTATAAATATCCTCTGCTGACCTCTTTGAATATATCTGATAGATCTATAAAGTAAGAACACATTTTAATGCATGGTAAAAATCAGTGAAAAATTAAATATCATGAAAATGGTGGTGAGCAAAGGATGACTTACCTTTAATAAGTTATATATGCATTATATGTAGATGCCAAGCTATAAAACATCTATTTTTGAAATTTCCAAAGCAGGTGAGGTAATGGGAAGCTGAATAGGAAGCATTTGTCTCTGCTGGAGTAAGTTCACATTTTACATACTTATATTGGCCTGAAAAGTCTTAAGAATATTCATTTTTGTCCAGAGTACAGCACAGACAATTTATTTGATATTCCCCTCCCTATTTGCTGGACTATGCCCTTTCTTCTAATATTTTTTGTTTTTTTTCCCATTTTATTCGGGCAAAGAGGAAAGCAGCTCCTATCAGTTGTTTTCCAAGTCAAATATCCTGCTAGAGACTTACATTTGCCTTCCGTAATCCTGAAATATTCAGAGTGAGAACTGAGGTTGAGTAGCAATTTTGATTTCTTTGCTAGTCAGAGACAGGGTAAGTCCATTCTGTTTTGTGACTTTCCCCCCGGCAAAATGTATAGAATAAAAAACTATTGCTCAGAATCATTCAGAAATGCCAGCCTGCCTAAAACTCAATATTATCATACTGCTCGGTAAGGAATCTTGTTCTTGGGTTTACTGATTGTGTACTGGCGTTACCTTTCTTTATGATACTTCATGCTCTTTTTTCACCTTAGAATGTGAACACTTTGGGGAAAAAGAATTGGGAACATGGAAGAGCAATGCAAATGAGTACGGCATGAGGAATATTACAAGGTCATCCTCTTTGAAGTGTTAACGTTTACAGTACTCCCACACATCTCAATCAGGCACTTGAGTCTTACAGGATGGAATAGTCTGTAAATCACTAGTAATACATACACATTTATGGAATTGGATACTCACATTTTCATTTCTTTTTAGAAGATCATCATCATTATATAAAGGCAAGCTTGACACCATCCATCCTGTACAAAGCTTAATCACACCCATTAACTGTGGGCTGCCTGCAAACACAGCAGCCACAGGAGCTTGTCTTCTGCAAAAGCAACATCAACATACATGTCTGAGTGCAGGATGCATTTCTCAAAATGATACTTTTAATTTTAATAACTGCACAAATCTTTGCAGATGCTATGGCAAGAAATGGTGTGCATGACGATACCTACAAAGAGGGGGACAGACTCTTTAGCAGGGTCTGCTGTGATAAGGGGAAATGGAGGGGACAGTCAGATTGGATACAAGGAAAAAGTACTTTAGAATAAGGATGGTGAGGCCCTGGAACAGGCTGCCCAGTGAGGTGGGGGATGCCCCGTCCTTGGGGACATTCAAGCTCAGGCTCTGAGCAACCTCATCAAGCTGTAGGTGTCCCTGATCATTACAAGGAGTAAGACTTAGATGATCTTGAAGAATCCCTTCCAACTCAAACAATTCTATGATCTTTGGGGGTCTAATTACAATTGGCATTAACACTCTGGTAGCATTGGTTTCCCTACCAGGAAAAGCACAGACTTGCAGCAATGAAGAGTTTGCAAGTAAGGTCTCCTGAGGGTTAAGAGCTGATGGCCATCCTCCCCTCCTTGTTATTCATGAAGCACTACTCAGAGTGGTCCCAGAATGGATCAAACTATTGCTTTTCTGAGCAGTTACTGTCTTGTGACAAAACAAGCTTGAGATGGAGGGCAGGTAGGTGGCAAAACAGTATGATGTTATCTTGTAAGTGAAAGACTTGTGGTTATGCTCACTTGATTTATAGGACAGTGTATTTCATCATTTATGAGTAAATACTGTCATACAGAATAACACCTACAGTAATTATGTTTCTTGATTTTTATTTCATCTTTTGATTATTCACACTGCAGTGTTAGTGAAAGAAAACAACCACTGTCACACTTTATTACAGATCTCCAGCAACTTTCCCCACCGAGAAAATTCAAGTAAATTCATTTTATCAGGGAGAAAATCGTAAGAAAGTATACTTACAATAATGATGTTCAATTAAAATTTCAATATGGATATCTAAGCATAAGCACTAAAAAATCCTTTTCATTAAAAATATGAACAGCTGCTACAAATAAGGGCAGTCAAATTGCTCTTAGCTGAGTGAATCTCAATGCAATTCACCATGATTAATTATGTACTTGAAGTGTAATATATGCAGACTAATGTAAAAGCCATTAGGTACTTGGCATTATTCCACTTGCTGCTTTCAAAAGCTGCAGCAGTGACAAACAACATACACTACTATTAACAGAAAGAAGAAATTGGCTGGAACACCATAATTACCAGCCTTGTCTTTTCTGAAGATGAACAGGTTGACATTAAAGACACCATAAATACAGAAAATAATATTCTTTTAAAAATGCATTTAAAGGTAAGTAAGTTATTTGAACACAGGGGACCTCATTTTCACAGAAGTGCAGTTAGTAATGACACAGTTCCAAATTAAATTGAATAAGGCCAGAATCTAGTTCTGAAACTTTTGATGAAGACAAAAATATATCTGTGAAAACATCCTTACTATCAGCTCAGCATTTGCTATGCCCTACCTAGTCAGCCAGATAAAATCCATTGCAGCCTTCTGCTCAAAGGGAAGTTTGAACCCCATGTTACACTCCATGTTTCTTGAGTGAAGTCTCTAAATCTTTACATCAGGCATTTGTTTCACTGGCTTCTGTACAAACGACTTTCATTGTTTCTCTCCCTTGTGGCATTATAGTCAATGTGAATCCTCTAAGCCACTGAAAAGTCAGCATGTAAAGAATCAGGATGTAATGATGCTTTACATGCTGAAGAAAGATATGTCTTTCTTTGGAAATCACATCTAGTAATGATACTAAACATAAGTTGACTGCACATTTCAGGATCTTCTCTTGTAATCAATGATAAACTCCTGCTACTTTGCATGGGAGGAATACCAAGCCTAAAATAATAATTTTTCTTCCCACCTCCCTCTACATCATGTAATGACTTGGCAAGGAAAAGCTCAGATTAATATAGGTAGCTCCACAAAATACTGAGATATAAGTATCCTGGCAAAGAATTAACACAAAAGTGCAGAAATTCATACTTACTTTATCCACGTCATAAGCTCTACTGTATCAGGATCATAGAATTCTTGTAGTTCTGAAAGCTCTGTCATTATCCTAGGGAAAAACTGATGGAAATGTTATTTCATTACAACTATGCCAGACTAAGGGACAACTTATTATGGGACAGCCACAGTGGATAAGACACCTGGAAATAGGAACCTGCTTTTAGCTGGAAATTCCACCCCCATTACCAGTCTGCAATCAGACAAATTAGGGTAGCACAAGAACAGCTGTCCTATGTTAATATGAGAGTTGTAGCACTCAGGAACTGTAGCATGTAGGAGCTGTTATACATATACCTGCACCATCCCAGAAATAGAGAGAGAGAGAGAGAGAGAGAGAGAGATGAAACACCACTGCCACCCCCAAAGAGAACCAGCTTCACTGATCACTCAGAGCCCGTAGAAAAATGTAGCTGATGAGGGACTATGCCTGGCTGAGACAGAAGGCAGCTAAGCAGAAAGATGCTGAGCTGTACACTCATCTCTTTAAAGCCAGAGTAACAGAGTACAAGTCTCAGGGCATTTGCACTCCCCTCATCCTATTAATCAAACTTTCCAAGCGCAGGGGTGAGTTGAGAACCCAGAGAGCAAACGCTCACTACTGCTTAAAAGCAGAAGTAGGATTGCCAAGGGATGAAGCCCTCTAGAGTTCAAATCCCCACACTGCTATTGTTAACAAATAATCTGTAAATGAATTCTTTTGTCACTAAGTTTTCTCTATTGTAACTGATTGCATAATTTTGAGCACCTTTAGCTTTTCTTTCCCCCCTCAGGAGAATTATCTGTTACACTGATAGAAGCACATAACGAGTCGGATTACACTGCAAACAAATTATCTATTAAAGACAGGTATTACAGAATTTGTACAGTTATACTTTTATATTTCAATGCCTTGTAAAAAATACTTAAGTTCTTATAAAGCTATTCAGAATAACTTTTCTGAATCTGTCAGTACAGTAGAGAATTAAGGGACATATTTTCTATTTTTTTCAAACCTGCAGAAATTTTAAAAATAATTTTCCAAATATTCTTCTCCCTGTGTGCCAGTCTGTCGGGCAACGTGACTAGAAGTAAAGAACCAAATACTTAATTTAAACAAGGAAACATCTGTAGATTTTTCCTCCCTGTACTGGTGTAAGGATTTAACTCCATTATAATTTGACAGCTTTTCAAACACGTTATTTGCCTATGACCTTCCATAATTTTTCTTCCATGTAACCTCTCACTAAAAAGAAGATAGACACACAAAATGCTTTTCAGTATTCTAAGTGTTTATTTGGCAATATTTTCTTTGTTGAGTCAGTTCACATATTCAAAGTGTAAAAGCTGAATGTAATAATGTCTTCATTTAAATTCAAATGCTTCTTAATTACAGTAAGTCATTGTTACCAAACTGAATTGTTAAATACCTCATACTGAAAAATTTAAACAGTTTTGTTTAAAAACAAAACAAAGTAAAATAAATTTAAAAAAGAAAAAAAAAAACCAGCACATTTTCAGAGGATGTCAGCTTTTATTTCACCTTGACATTATATTTGCTTGGTGTTTTGACTCATATGCTGCCTAAAGACAAAACAAAACATAGAACAGCATGTTTCTTACCTCTTTCCACAAGCTGAATCCAATTATTGTGGGAACTGCCATACTCAGAATGAGAGCCTAGAAAACAGATTTTAGAAGAAAAGGATTATGGATTGTTATCCATTCTCCAACTTCAAGTATGCTGATGCTGTTTGTATAGCAGTAGGCTACACTGATGCCTGAAACCTTAAGAGTGACTGCAGGTGAATCACTGCAATTTTCTACCAGGAGAAAGCTTTCTGCAAAAAAAATTTGTCTAACTTAGTACTGAGTAACTGATCTGATCCATGTTATATTTACCACTAATATTAGGGACTGTTATCTACTGCTCATCTAAGAATGAATCAGTGCACACATGAAGTATGGACAGAAGAAAAGTAAATACCTCTCAGATACAAATACAATGCAATAATTTGAAAAATGAAAAAAAAAAAGTATGAAACAAGCATTTCAAACCTCTGATCTTAATGATGCTTTCATTCAGATTGACAATAGTGACAGGCAAAAACCAGAAATTCACTCTCCAGGACACCATCATTCTAGCTGGTATCCCCTCCACTTTGCAAAAGAAGAGTAGCTCACAGAGTACAAAAAACACTTGGTAAAGAGCATACACAATGCATTCTCTTGGTAATAATCTGTTAACACATCTACTATATGAAAAAGCAGGTCTATATATCAGAAAGCATGTAGTATATAAAGCAGTATGTTTAATATGTATGTGAATATATTTTTATTTTTTACTGGAAGGACACTGTCAACATCTATGATACAACATTAAATAGCATTTGCACTAGTACCATATATAACTTTAAGTTTTAAATATTTATTCTTCTAAGTATCTTGAAATTAGGGCAGAGTAACACCCCATCCTCATTTCATTAATAAAACAAATGCAGAAAGGTGCCCAAAGCAACTCTCATCCCATTATGAACAAAGCTAGAGTTGGAAGTGGAGGAGCTGTTTGCACTACAGCACAAGCTCATCTTTAGTTACAGCACTTCTCTGAAATGGCTACACCAGAACACATCTTACACAAAGTAACTGCAGCTACTATTTCTTAGGAATTTGTTTTACTCTCATTGATTAAATACACCTAACTACCACATTTTAGCCTAATTTCCTAGTGAAACGAGGCTTATGTCAATGCTTGTCTGCATGCCTGTACTTTTTCTTGTGCACTTTTTCTACAGAACATTTGACCTTCTTGGCCAGTCTTAACTAAATACGACAGAGAGCTTGAGGTCTCAAAGATCTATTAAAAGAAATTAAATATGTCTGAGAAACAGAGATAAAGACTGTTCTGCTCCTTGTGAGGAAAAGGCTCTGCTTTATCACCAGATACCAGAGAACATGGGAAAACATGCTGTTAAGAATGCAAAACAAGAAAAAGTAGACTATGTAAGATCTACTGCTTACAGAACTACATGTTCTTTTAGTGGGTTTTTCTTTAAGTCTTAAGTTATTGTTGTTGGAAAAGCGATATGACAGTGAGCTGTAATTTCCAAGACATTGGCAACAGCAGCTCACCAGTAGTATCGGATGCACAGCTTTCAGTCTCAGCCACTTGAAAAGTGTCATCCAAAGTTCAGGAGAGCACACACCAAATGCAGCGAGCATGCAAACATACGGAGTCCACAGATACTTCATTCTGAAAAATATTGCAAGAACTTGGTTGGCACTTTGCACATGTCACTGTATTTTTTTTTCAAACAAGTCTGGATATGCAAGCAATCAGATTGAATTTGATGGCACTGGAGGGCAAAACAAGGAAATCTCTAGCAGGAGAGCAGGCACCTGATTATTTGCTGTAAGATGTAAAGGCACGATCCCAGGTCAAAGATAACAAAATCCTTCAGAGAGTTTAGGGGAGGATGAAAGAAAAAACAAACAAGACTAGTAAAGTCACTTGGCTGTAATAGTTTTCCAGCCAGACAAGGACAAAAACCAGCCATTCAGCAAAGTTGCACAGACACTGTATTATAAGGGATTTCCTGAAGGAAGGAAAGGAAAGTATTTCATAAACAATTTACTATTTGCTGTTTTTGTCTGCCTCTTGAGGATAGACAAGTCAAGACAGCTACTTGGCAACACAACACTTTGCTCACTTTAATAATTTATGCATATTCAGATATTAGGATGATAAATGTAAATGTATAAATACGACTGCCACTTTCCAGCTGATTTGGCTGAGAGCTAGAGTGGAACAAAAAGGTTATCCAAACATAAGCTCCTGAAGATTAAAGAACTAATACTCAACACTATTCTTGGTAATTGTTTCACTGCTGCTTAACATGTCAGGCAAAGGTTTATTCAGTGCTTGTCTACGTACAATAAGATGGTTGACAAATCTTCCACACCTTGAAGAACATTCAAGAACATACACTATCCATCCAAACACTACACAAGATCTCACAAGAACACAATATTCAAAGAATGATAGAGCACTTCTATGCTTAAATACCACAAGGAGAGAGATTCAATTTTCTCTAATTAATTTCTTGGATTTTGGCTGCATTAAAGCTTAAAAAATGCATTGAAGAGACCAAGCACGATTCATCATACTCCTCTATCCAATTTATAGTGAAAATTCTCTTTGCTACCTTCCCTACCAACTAGTACCACTGTATGCCAAATATATTTCTGAAAAGACTTTTGAGTCATAGATACATTTGAAAGGGGCAAATAGCCTATCACATCCAGTTAGGAAATCTCTGTTGCTTTCAAAAGAGATACATCAAAACAAGACTTACCCTTCCAAACACATCGCTAGAGAACCAAGTAAAATTGTGTGAATTACATGATAAACTATTTCTGGCCTCTCTCCAATTCGACCATCCTCAAGTTTAACTGTCTCTTTCAGTGGTTCACCACTGCAGTTGGAGAAAATGAGACATCACTTAATTCAGACATTATCTCAGGCAAAGATGTCAACAAAAATATTTTTATGACCATTAGGTAAGCAGTACACTGAGATCATTCTGTGTCATATCATATACTATTGTTTGCACTGCTTATTTGGTTTTTGATTTGTCAGTGATCTATAGGTACCTGCTGTCCCTTGTGTTAGACTGCAACCTCTTTGGACCAATGGCTGTGAATTAATACAAGATCACCATCTATGACCATAAATTCTATTTATGGTGCTTCAGCAACAAGAGACAATCTAATTCAAGAGCATGCGTACTCCGTAAACATGTAGATGAAGCACTCTGTATGTGTGTCCTAAGTTCTTTCATGTCGTTAAGTTGCTGAAAAATTACATAACCCATATTACTATGTACACACCATTTTATCACAAAATAGGATTACAAAACCAGTTGCTAGTCATAGTACTAGAACTTCCAGTAATAAATTGCAAATAAAAAAACAATCACAACCCAAATCTTAGAATGAATGTTTTTCTGCAAACATGATAGCAAGACATGAGAAATACATTTTATTCTACCATTAAGTGATACCAGTTACAAAGTTGTAACAAGCAATTAACTGCTTCAAAATCAGAAAGTTTTTACTTTGAGGAGGGAGAAAGTTGATTTTAAACTCTTCTTAAAAACCCATAGGGTATAATGAAGTTACTACTTTTCACAAAGCAATACATAGGTAATAGAGACACTTGCAAAGATCAGAAGAGTCTGCTTTATTGTTTTGAATTTCTCATTTCACCTCCAACATGACATACATTTTCACTTACACCAGTATCACCTGTATCTATTGAAAGTCTTAGTCCTCAAAAAAAGAAAAAAAAAGCCATTGATTTTTGCTGCAGGAAAGTGAGAAATTTGCCCAATACCTGAGCAGTTATACCATTTATCTCCTACCAGGGAGATGTAATTTCCCAACCATTCAGTTTCCAGGATAAATTATGCTAGCATCCTCACAGCCCTGCATTCTGAGTCTGCACGCGGACAGCTCCAGTACCCCTTCTCTCAAGGGAACTGTAAATCACTGTGAAACTACAAATAATTGAGTCTGTGCTACTTCAGCTCTGTTCCAAGCAGCAAAGAGTTATGAACTTGACCACAGTAAACATAAGAAATAAATAAATTACATGGGAGCATTAAAGTTGGAAATCCTCTCAACTCCACCCTTCTCATTTTTTGCAAAACAAAAACTTGGAGAAAAAAAAAAATACCCACAAAAGCAAAGGCAAAAAAAAAAAAGACAAATCCTCCAGCAACAATCCAGTGACTCTGCTGTTGGAAAGGGAAAACAGACAAAATACCTTTCTCACAATGGTAAGAGACATAAACGTGACAAAATCGAAAGCCAGATCTCTGCAGGAGTTTCCCTTTTGAAAAACAAAACAAAACAAGCAAGTAAAACCAGAGACAATTCCCTACCCTCACTAGAGGGATGCTCAGGAAGCTCTTTGCTAGAAAACTTTCTGCAGAAGCCTTAGGGCTTTCCACTGCTGCCCATAGCCTTGCAAGCTCAATGGTGCAGTGAGTCCTCACTTAGGCTGAGGCCTCAGCCAGTTACACAATTCTATTCACTTTTATATCTAAGAAGCTCTTATCTCTAACCTCTTATATTCCAATAAAAATAAGTTACTTACCAAATTCTCCTAAAAATGACCTGAGTTACAGAAAAAAGGCAGATAATTAATACTAAAATATAGAAAGGCAACAGTGATGACTGTGTTAGCCGCAAAAAAAAGTCTTGGGAGGGTGCCTGAAGAGATTCTTGACAAAGGAGCCAATTCATTGTAAAATTCCTAGTAAGGCAAAAACATCCCATTAAAAACCAATGACAATGCCACATAGTTTAGGAAGAGAAAAAAATAGTACACAACGGAGCACATTTTCATCTACTCATGTCATAGGAAACTATTTGAAATCCATCTTTGAAAAGTGATATTCTATAATTTGAAACTGCTTTACAAGTACTCTTTATAGTAACTGTCAAAAGCTTATCTTCCAAAAAGAAAGAGTCTGTGATCTGAAGAGGCCAGACTATGACTCTTCCATGTCACAAAACCCAGCCTCCTGTTATGAGGACCACAAAGAACTTTGTTGTCACAGTGGATTAAGATTCTAGAGATACTGATGCAAGAAGGTATGCTTGTCCTCATTCCAAAGGAAAAGTGCTCATCTGAGATCACATACAAGCCCAAAGCATCGTCAAGAATGGAATCCACAATGCTGAAATTCTAATTCTGTAGCTGACCCTACTTGATCATTCCTCTTTCTCAGTTAATAAGCAAAAAGACTATATATTCTGCCAAGAAGTACTATTAATGCATATTCTCAACTGGAATTGATGTGGCACATCATGTAATGAAAGCATTCTTGTCTTTATTCTCTTTTTGCTTTCCTCCCCCTTTTCTTCTACCCTCAAGTGAAGACAAGAGAACTCTACCACTTTCAGTTAGACAGAACCAGTTTTAGGATTAACAGCTGAGCACATTCAAAGCCTTAAGAGACAGATCTTGAAGTTTTAATGCTGCAAGCCACAATTCCAGCATTTAGTTACACAACTTTCCAGGGGTAGTTGCATCCACTTTGTTTCAATCACCATTTCAATGAAGGGCTGCACAGCCTGGAAAGTAATATGTAGCAAGTTGCCGGGGAAATAAACATATCTGTAATACCTGGTAGCTGAAATAACCAAAATCCTGACCAGAAGCAGTCTTGAATTTTTTTTTCAAAACACTTAAGAACATTCATATATGTGTGTTAAATAGTGCATTTTAGTTAAACTCTTAACATCGTGTCTTCCAAAAACGCCACAACATTTTCAGTTGTGTAATGTCATCTTCCAACTCTTCTCCTGAAATGACTTGGAGTAGTTTTGTAAGAGACAGATGCAGCTTACAGGAGAGAGTATCAACTCCAAGCAATTGCTGGCTTGGTTCCAGGAGCTTTTTCTAGTCCTTACCAACATTACACTTGAAGTTATCCAGAAAATCTGTATCCGTGATTTCTTCTTCTCACAGACTAACATTCAACTCTTTTACAGATGCGAACAGTTTTTCTTAGAATCACAATTTCCTCTGACTTTTAAGCTGTCCCTTGTCTTAATTTCTTCTAAAACAAACAGGGTGTTTCAGGTGGTTATTCTTAGAAAACTAAAGAATAAACATCAGTGTTTTGAGGTGGTAATTACTCCCTTCATAGCCCTGTTTTCCTGCTATGAGAAGTTAGGACCACTACCCTGACCATATTCTCTCTGCTTCCAAGTCTCATTAGAAACATTAGATGGGGTACAAAATGTTTTGCTCTTCAACATAAAGTAAAAAATCTATGTAAAGCTTTCACCCCCGGGCGATGAAAAATACTGAAGTGCCTCAGACACCTCCAGACCTTAAGTAAATCCTATATATGCATCTCTTAAAACTCGTTTGTAAAACCAAGTGAAAAAGGTAAAGTTTCTCTAATTCCTCTATAAATACAGACAAGCCTCTGAAATTTTATACTTCTCAGAGTAGTTTCAGAAGTTTGAATATCTTATAAGGTGTAAAAAAAAAAAAAAAATAAACTTACTTAGTTGTGTTTAAGCCAAGTTTTATCTCAAGAAACTTCAGCAAATGCTCATTTTCTTTATGAGGAACAAACATCTGAAAATTAATTTAGCAGAGAAAAATCTCATCAAGTATTGGAAGCAGCCTTCACTACTAACTTCATTCAGATTACAGATTGGCAGGGAAAAATCAGTTATTTGAGACTGAGTTAGAATTAATAAATTAGATTAAGTGTGTCAATTAAGGTATCAATATAGTACTATAAATCTCCACTTAAATGAATCTATCTGTAGGGTTTCCTGCAGACCATCATACACTGCATTTTACACATGTACCCCAAAGAGAGGGCAAATGAAAGCTGTCAACTAGATGTTGGGAGGTTACTGAGTAATGTGAGAAGGATCATGGAAAATGGACATACATTTACCCCCGAGCAAGCCAAAGAACAGTGTTTGGCTCCACTAAACAGTAGAACTGCAGCTTAGCAAAAGTTATGAGCATTTGTAATCTTCACATAAATTGTTTAAGCTGCCAAAGTTCTCTGCACTGTCTACGTAATTTAAGTCATATTTTTCAAGATTAGGTTTTATATTCCTGGAGGTGCAGCAGAGCTAGCTAATCTGAATGGTACAAGAAAACAGCAGGTTTGAGCATTCTCTCAAAATTTTTTAGGGTTCACTATGTTCTGAATTTATAAGTTGATACCGTTTACTAATACAAACGAGGTGAGACATAAGGAAAAAGCACTAATTACATACAAGGCAGGGGTGGGTAAGAGGGAGTTTCTAATCAAAATGCCAGACCAGGTTAAAATCCCATTGAAAATTATAATCTACCCTAAGACTACTAGCTCTTTTCCACACACAAAAATACTGATTTAATTTTCAATCCAATTGGTAGAGGTGATCCAAGTTATAACAAAAAACACACTTATAAAATAGCTAGTGTGTGATTTAAAGAATATTTCAATACTATGCTTTAATCTCAATCTAAAAGCTCCAAACCCCAAACAAAAAAAACAGCTGCTTGAGTTGTTAGATGAAATATTTTTAGATAAATACATAGATACAAAATTACTCAGTCTTCAGTATTTCAATTTGCTACGAATTAAGCTATTACCTCTCAGATCAGTATCACAGAATCATAGAATGGTTTGGGTTGGAAGGGACCCTTAAGATCATCTAGTTCCAGCCTCTTGCTAGAGCCAGGGATACCTCCCCCTAGACCAGGTTGCTCAAAGCCCCATCCAGCCTGGCCTTGAATGCTTCCAAGCATGTATGATAAGCAACACTTCAAAAAACATTCCCAAGATATAACTGTTGCTTTCCATTTAGATTATAACAATTAAAATAGCTTTGTACAGCAGAATCTTACCTTTAGTAACAAGTTTAGTGTCAGTGTTACTGTGAGTACCAAATAAATGTACATAATTTTCAACATTCTCGACACAAATGTACCTTTCTTCACATTCATCTGCAAAAACAGTTTGAGAATGTCGTATCACTTGGAGTTCAGTTCAAGTAATAAAATCTACATTCAGAGTTAGAGGAGAGTCTTGTTACCTGAAGGTATTTAGAGAGCATTAAAGCTGCTACAAGACTAAGTAATGGTGACACTAGTAAGGCCGAATTTTCAAACTGCAATAAATACCCGAGGAAGAGAGAAAACATGTAGATTTTGTACACTTCATGCACCTGTCGACAAGAAAAAATAAAATTACAATGGATACACATTCTGCTTCCTAGAGCACATAGACAGTTCACTGCATTTCCTTGCTAATCAGGAGATTAATGGATACATTTCAATCCTCCAGCTCAGGAGGCTAGCAGGGTACAATCTGGCTGTGAAAAGTATTTCATACCAAAACAATCCTGGTCAGGCTCAGGAACAAGCACACCACTGCTCCACAAGAAATATGAAAAATACCAAAAGTAGTAGTAATATTTTACAAGGACTCTTTATTCTGTAGCACTGTGCTGTAGCAGTAACCACAGTGTAACAGCATGAAAACACACAATTTGGGTGAAGGAACTGACTACTGTCAACACATCCTTTACCTGTCCTCACAAAAACTTGTTCAGTTAACCTAAGGAATACATGTTCTGCTACTGACACTCACTTTGTTATTTAATAATTGACAAGCAGATCTTATAAATTCCAAAAGTTAATTCTTTAGAACAAGTTTAAAGCTATTTCATTCTCCCAGTGGTCAGGACACGTGCTTCAGCTGGACCCAAGCTGTGAGACACTCAAGTCATCGCCCAGTGTATGCTCTTTGGAGCAGTATGAGGCTGTATTTCAGTCCTCAGTTATAGGTAGGCTGACGAGTTCTAGTACCTTCTCTGACTGTGCCAGGGCAAAACTGTCAAGCAGAAAAAGAGACACGGCCTGGAGAAACAGGAGGTAATGACTGTACTCCCACATCATCATGAAGGTGTATGTTGAAGCACTCACCAAAAGGTAACAAAATTTCTAGAGGGAAAAAGAACAAGAGAAAAAGAAAACAAAAAACTTTAATTTGATATTTATGCATCTCAGTCACTAAGCAAGTGAGAGATCATTAAACCAGAAATTACAGAAATTCACTATTTTAGGAAATAATTAAGATACAGAATTTAGACTTATTTAACACCTCAGACAGAAAAAAAAAAAGTCATTACTGAAACACTCAAAAACATTCAAAGCCAGTCGGAAGAAACGCCTTTGTCAGAGAGAGGAAGCTATCACCATCTTCTCCCAGCAACAGGAAAAACAACAGAATAGCTTACACATTGAGAAAAAATTGGCATCTGTTCATCTTAAAAAGGCAGCACGCAGCTAATTACTACACTGTTCTCTCTTAACCCTCATTGGGGCATAACAGAGCAGGGCACTTTTGCTTAGCAAAACCCACACGTGCCTATGTGAAATCCAAGCAGCTGTTTCAAAAAGAACAAACAAAACACCTGTTTTCTGCAGGTAACTACTCTAGAGCACAGTTCTATCACCAATTCTTTATTAAGAAATTAATTTTCTTTTACCTCTGCAGAACAATTTAGGTTTTTTTTTAAATAGCCTGTGAGAGCTGCTACTTGACATGCAAAATATGGCAAAGCCCAATTTTCCCTTGATGGTATGGAGTAATCAATTCTTGTTGTATCTGTCCTAGAATAAAGTACAGACAAACAAAATTATTAAAATTTATGGAACAAAAATATCAAGGAAAGCCTAAATGTTACTTTTAGTTAGCACTGTGGCCTTGCAAGCAAGCTATTCCTGTAAAAAGTTCAAAGTAACACTAATACAGTTTTGCTGCTGATACAGGTCACAAATTTAATATCAGCACAGAAGGCCCAATCTTCACTCATTAAGCACAACTCCTAATGAGTTGGAATTTACAGGATTGAAGCCAAGAAGCAGGGCCTCCAGCCATTTCTGCCCACACCTCCACAGGAGATGTCACATTATGATGGTCTCGTTATGGATATGACAGCAGCCTTTCATGTTACCATGAATATAAGCTGAGAGAAAAGAGCACTTCCAGTTCTCACACATGATGTTTTAGGAGTGAATTGGCAGTAGAGCACAACGTACTTAGAATCCAAAGCAGTGCAGCACCAGCAGATACTTTGTCTACAGGGAAAACTCTGCCCAGAAAACAAGAGATTAAAGATGGACAGGAAGCATGGGACAGAACAGCAGCAGGGTCTTCTTGTGGGATGACCTGACAGTATCTGCACAATTAGAGCTGTAGGAAAAAGTTATACAGAGTGCTACAGTGACTCAGAAGCACAAGCGACACTTTCAAATGTGATCAAAGGCACTGGTTTCAGAGGTACATAGTCTTCTTTGTGTCTACTATGCTTTTAAAAAGGAGCTTGAAGCTCCTTTATCATTTAGATATTTGAAAGCACCACCTTTCATTTTTAAAGCTTAAGCATCTCAAAGAGGTGCTCTTGGAGCTTTAAACTACTGGATCTTTCAATTGGTTACGTGTTTAATATTCCTTGCTGTTGAAAAAAGAGACAGATTTATTCACCATTTTTCCTACTTCTCACTGCTCACATCAGGTTGGTGAACAGTATTTTTATCTATTAATCATAGATTTGGTCATGATGACTTCACATTCCAAAAAGATGTAAAGATACTTCTCAACAGTTCAGCTTTAAAGATACATCTCTAATACTTGGCCTGTCCATAGCTCTTATTTTTGAAAGGGCCTCAAATTTTTTTAGAATTAATAAGTGCTGGAGTCAAGGCTGGATGTGGTTCTGGGCAGCCTGGTCTAGTGGTTGTGACCCTGCCAATGGCAGGGAGGTTGAAACTAGATGATCTTTGAGGTCCTTTTCAACCAGGCCATTCTATGATTTTATGATAAGTGTCAAGTTCACAGAAAGTCCCAGAGCTATCTGGTGACAAAGCAGGAACCAGACTGTTCCAATTGCCAAAATGAGGTTCCCTATCACTGTGGTGCTTCATAAAAGGAAGAGATACTTTCATGCAAACAAAACACTATAAGATGAAAAAATCTTGAGGTCAGAATCATTTAAGAAGATTCCACACTGCACAAAGAAAAGCTACAAAAAAGCAGATTAAAAACAAAAAAAAACAAAAAAACAATCAAAGTCTTTTTCCAGAAAAAATGTGCTTGGTCATTTCCTTCAAAGCAACAAAATAATGGTCACAATGTTTAGAGCTAGTCACAGACAATAACTTCGTTTTCAGCAACTTCAGAAATTTGTTTTCATTCTTCATCAGAACAAAACCAAAATCTTCTGATGAATGTTTTTACAAAATGGAACTGTGTGAAAATATTCATGTATTCACACATGCTCACAAACTCAGGCCAATTGTCAGCGTGGCTGGTTTGGACAGCAGAAGGCCCTTCCATTAATAAAAGCATCAGCAGAATCAGTGCATCTCTGGGAAACATTCTGCATTCAGTACAAGAGCTTGCTCTCACAGTGAGAACACCAAGCTTAATAGAAAGCATTTTATTCCACTCTAACATTTTCAAATGCCTTATTAAGAAACTAGATTGTATAAAGATATTTTTCTTACCTGTTAATAATGAACCATGCTACAGTCAGCATTCCTGCCAGCCAAGTCCCACTCATAACCCAACTGGTTACAAACAATGCAGTCACATAAATTCCCTGCAGTCCAAAAACTATACCAATGTAGAAATACACTGGTTCAATAACTTCCTGAAATTACAAATAAAAATGAAGAGACATAGCAGCAACTGAGTTGAAGCTGGAAATTATTGCTATTTACTGCTTGCATACTGCTAACAGTGTGCTAGATGCTTCACAAACAGGTAAGAGACAGCTTCTATTCTAGAAAAGAATCAAGCATGCTTTTACTGGGGCTCAGGAGGACAAAGCAGTGTTCACTGACAGCACACTCAGAACTCAGCTTGCTACTGCTATGACTTTTGCATGTGCACCAACACTGTGTGTCAGATTTGGAAAAAAAAAACCATACTGCAGTGAGATATAAGTTTATAGGACTACTGAAAGAAATCATGCAGGAGAAGAACTCTGAAAAGTAAAGATGTAGCAAAAATGGTTCTAAATACAGGAGAGTACATATATAAATATATATAAATGAAAAAAACCAAAGAGATAAATGATAAATGAGAGAGTATAAAGCAGGACACAAGTATGCAGCACAAGCAGAACAAAGCCCATGTGGAGCAGAGAGAGACAATAGGTGCATATACAAAAATGTATTCCCCTTTTACCCACATGGAATGGATAGAGACAGGTACCACTGTAACAAATGTCAGTACTCTGAAGGATCTAACTTTTTATATTGAATGAGTAGCACAGTTACTCTTAACATTTTTAAGTGGTTTGTAGAAGCAAAGAAATATCGGACAGAAAAGTATAGTGTATATGAAGCCCCCAAAAAATCCTACTCCAAATGCTGATGAGAACTGAGGAGAACATGGAGCTGGTGGTAGGCTTAGCTCAATTAATTCAATAAAAATTGCATGTATTTACTGTATGCAGCAGAGAAAGGCACACGTGCACACACTGAAAGCAGAGAAAGCAGAAGAAATGCACATACTTCACTACCAGATGCTTGATATAATACACTGGCAATCAACTCAGGGTACAAGGTCATCTGCTGGACTGCATTTATTGTCTTCAACGATACTGTCTTATTGTTGTGTGTCAACTCATAAACACCTACAGACAAAAGAAAATTATTCTTGGAATCACTTACTACTGCTGTTCTTGAAAGGGTGCATGTATATTCAAAGGTAGGGGGAAACAGATTTGACCACTGAAGCTACTGACTGATTTAACATTTCTAATTTTAAAAGGAAGAAGAAATTATTGTTTTATATGGCAATGCATCCTACTGATACTGCAATTAAATTACTACTGCTTTTTGAACTAGTCTTTAAGCAGAAGGTGTCTCCACCCACCACCAAAAAAAGAAAAAAAAACCCATAGTCTTTTCAGAATCAACACAATCATGCAGTCCTATAGGTCACCTTCACAGGAGGTTCTTCAGAAGTGACACAAAGATCTATGAGGGATGAGCAGGATGCATTAAACCTGCATACACAAAGAGGTCAGATATGATGGCCTTCTCACCCCTGCATTTCTGAGAATTCTACAAATCTCTGAACACAATACACCTCTGTATGGGATTGAGATAAAGTTGGCATACTTGTAGGATACATCACTCTCAGAGGTATTATAACTAAAACAATAACTTGTCATTACTTGGGACAATGGAGGGAAGGGGAACTAAATACTCCAACTAAAAAAAAAAAAAAAAAAAGAACAATAACCCCAACAACAATGAAACAGCAAAACAAGATTACTGTTTCCAACTCCAAACATATCCTGGTGTGTGGTCTGCAGCTGCTTCTCTGCAGGCCAACCTCACTCTTACAGAGCACAAAAAACCATGCTCAGCACTGCCATGACACACCTCTGTAAAATGTGTGCCTCCAAAATACCAAGTAAACATACAAGTTTTGCAGGGCCAGCTGCAAAACGCCCACGAATAAGGCAGTCCATCTGTCCACAACAGCAGAAAACCTTCCAGAGATAATGAGAAACTAATTATACCAAAGCCCTTTTGTACACTACTGGCACATGCTACACATCAGCTGGGAAACTGCCACCAAAAAGACTATACCTATAAAGTTCAAATGGCTTCAGATTTAGTTTCATAAAAGGATCGAACTAATTCAATAGCTTAATTCTACAACGAAGAGCTGCTCACCCCTTCCTCCCTCCCAACATTCTCACCTTTCCCCTTGAGCTAACCCTGGTGCTCTTCTGAAGTCACTGAAATAGCAAAAAACTGTTCAAGCTTCTTTTCAGTGTCTTAATTTTCCACTGGTTCAAGGACACAACCCAGTCATTACAGATAGGAGCGAGCTCCAGAGCCAGTGCAGGACAGAGAGCTGAAGCACAAAGGGAAAAGATACCACTGCAACCAGCTGCTTCTTGTCCCCCGTGGTTTCTGTCCCCCTCAATCTTCATCATCATCTATTCATCAGAGCTGTCAGGTTTAGGAATGGTTGGCAGGGACAGCACTGAGCAGATCAGCTCTTGACAGAAACAATTCTATCTTCTGACAAGGGACGAAACAGGAATTTCCATCCCACATTTCCAAATTAAATAAAAATCATTCTTTCAGGGATAAAAATCAACTATGCAGCATAGGCAAACCTAACAACTATGGGACAGTATCAGCATAATATTAATCTAACTCTCCAAAGTTCAGTCAGTGTGCAGTTTTTAGTTAACCTAACAAATTACAAGAGTATTTGTCTCCAAAAGGGGAACAAGACCTTTCAAGGTTAAGAAAATAAACATTTTTGTACCTCTTTCAAAGGAAGGAGCCTTTAGCAGTTCCTTATAGAATGAGTAATAAATGGCGCTGTCACCCTGAAATGTAATTTCTCGTTCAAGTTCCTAGGGAAAAAAAATAGATATATATTCACCTGCAATCTCTTCTCATAGAAAACCATACATTTTTAGATAGACTGGTTTTGTAATACTGCACATGGTTATGACTCCACTGTACATCTCCAAAATATTCCACAGAACATTAATCTTCCCAGCTCCTCCGTCAGGTATATAACGCTCTATAACTTAGCAAGCATGCTCGGAATGAGAGCAACTGAAATCCATGTTGTAAGTCAGTGGGAGACCCACAGGATCACTTCATAGTCACAGACCTTAATTTCATTCGACTTTCCATAATCCACTGAACAACAGTTCTTACAGCACACATCCTTGACATTTAGCTTATATTAAACATAGTTTATCCCAGTGCATATTTTTTTCCTCCAAATTTTAGAGAAGTTATTTCAACTAATCAAGATGAATTAAGGAAAATCAGATAAAAACACGACCACACAGAACTGCTGTGAGTAGGAGAAACATCAGTTTTTAAAAAGCTATTTCAAAGACAGAGGCCCGAGTAGAAAGGCACGGGATTCTGAAAGCAAGCAGTTCCAAGCTGGCACAGATCAGCTTCGATTTCAAGGACACAATTTGGCTTTTGTTTCAGTAGTTTAACTTTTTCTTTACCTGCCTGCTGGAAAACCAGAATTTCCGTTCATGATATGTGGAGAGGTACACAGCATACATCATTCCACTAGTGACTGCCGCAAGACAGCCAAAGAAAAGTTTCGCAAAACGCTGAATTAACATATCTGAAAAGGGACAGTGAAAAAGCTAAAATAGTCCAGAGGACTTAAAAAACAAAGAGCATGCCCTAAGTACGACTTGTTCTGAAGAGCAAGTAAATATACCGGCATCAGAATTAGCAGCACAGGTACATTGAGAACTGGATTGTTATTCCTTTGCTGCAGTTTTCTCTCTTGATTACTACAACTGTCTCATGGGCCATTTGGATAAAGTACCCACACACTGCACTGCAAATTTATCACCCTTCTAACAAGCTTCAATTGTAAAGGAATTTCAATAACAGAAAATGTATTACAAGTAAAGAGAGAAAACTCCAGGCTTCACTCGAAACACCGTAAAATTCTTAAACACATCAACAGAAAACACATCTACCATCAATACCAAGATATTCTGTTCCCAGGTCTTCTTTTCAAATGTAAAAAGAAGGAAATATATTTTACCCACTTCTTTCAACTGGTATCTACCTCCCCTGTAGCTCCCTCAAGTCAGTATGTGCTTTTAACTTAAAAGCTTTTGGTAGCTTGATGAGCGTTTGCCTGAAATTACACCTGGTCTTAGTTCTGTGCCTTGAGAAGCTGTAGGTAGTCTGTGTGTGTGCTTGTTTCAGTATGGTTATTTCATGCTTTTCAGCTTCTCAACATAAAGATAACTGCAGATGCAATTAAAATATTTATGTGTGCTCAAATAGACAACAATCAGATTCATAACATCCTCCCTTCAAGTGAAACAACCCAGGAACAGCATTTTACTCTGCAATACATAACATGTCATTATTGAAGAATTCTAATGTGAATGCCTGTTTTTCTTGAAACATTCTGAATTAGATTTTTGAATAAGTCTGTTATAAATTACTGTGCTAGAAATATATTCCCATAAATGTAAAAGAAGAATGAATTTAAAAAAAAAAAAAATTAGAACTAAAAATTCTGTAGCTTACATTTTGGCGATCTTCCCAGCTTAGAGTTTTCTTTGTTTCTCTCCTCTGGAGCCATTTTGTCAGATTCTGTGCAGTTTTGTTTCCTTCTCTGTCGCAGGTCTGCTGCCCCTGAGGACATTTTTTAGGAAGTTATTGCAGCAGTATTCCTAAAATCACACCCTGAGAAATCCCTGCGGCAGCAGGTAACAGCCAGTTACCGCTGCGGTTCAGCCACACAGCAAACATATTTGACAAAAACGCTCAGCTAAAGTATTTCACGTACCTAACTAGAACAGTGTAACAATGCAGAGATCAATTGGTATGCTATTCCTTTGAAAATTGGTTTTTCTGGAGGCCGTACTGCAGGATTGCCCAGAGCTCAAACTGGAAGTTAGCTGTTTTATTCCCTGGTGAACATGTTACACAAAGGAAGGAAAGAGGAAGAGCAGGTAAGTTGGCTTTGACGCTGGGACAAATCAGTGCCACTTCCATTCAGGTTTAACTGTAACAGCACTGCAGAATTGCCATCTCACTGACCTACTGCCCAACAGTGGCTACAGAACTCCAACCAGTGCTCTCCCCTCTCATACAGCCGTTCCACTTTCAGTTGCAGCGTCTGTCTTCCAAACCTGAATAAAGCTGATAACGACTCTGCTGATATACTCACATCAAAACTGGTCTGTTTTTAAATCCCACTACTTGGATTTGTAAGTTAGAAACAAGAAGGTAATACAAGCAAACTGTTGAAATGGTGCCTGCCCATAACGGAGTACCTGCATTTGTGTTCCAACAGGATTTTCAAACAACTACACATTATTCTAAACAGACCAATTGTACCATGCTTCATGGAATGAACAGAAAATACCTAACTTCTTCCATAGAACAAGGATTAGAAAACCACTAGACAAAACCATGTTTAAGTCATTCAATGTCACATTTACCATGATGTCAAACCAAAACAAAAGACACACTGGTACTTCTTCATGTGCTGTGCATTAAGCCAATCAGCAAAGCAAACACAGCGCTCTGCAATGTGAAGTCACTTGTATCACACAAGATAACACTGGAGAAAGTATTTAGATCACCAGAACAGCCAGACTGCTTGCAAAGCCAACTGCCTGGCCTTGTCATCCTGGTTACAAGCAAAGCTATGGAGTGAAAACACAGGAAGAAAGTGTATTCCCTTCTTTCCTCTAGCACATTGATGAGCCAAACTGGGAGTGTAAGATGCCTGTAAAGGCCAGGGTTAGCAGCAGCAACAGAAAACTTCTAAAGAAAAGAAGTTAAAATCCTAATTCTGAAATGGCTACACCTCTGTCAGCAAATAATGCTCAGTAGATCACCCCCCCCCCCCCCCAAAAAAAAAAACAGTGATAACAAAAGGTACAAGCATGCAATTTCTGTTTCATTTGCAGCTGCCTCCAACAAGAACAGTGTTGTTTCCACTCTTATGAATCCTTTACATGGGGTGAAATTAAAGTCAAACAAGGTGATGACTAAAAATAATGTAGGAGTCTGAACTGATGACACAGCCTCTGTCTGGTACCTCTCTATTCAGCAAGCAATTTATCATCCAAGATTGCTCTTTAGTTCCCTTCAAGTTCTCATTACGTTTTTAACTCTTGCCTAGAGAACACTCTGCTTAGTTGTGGGTATCTCTTGCAGCCTCCTTGCTCCTGTGTGCCACACCAGTAATCCATCTGTTGCCTGCAAAGGGACTGCAAAGGGATTGCTGTCCGCAGTTCCTGTTCTGTCATCGAAAGACAGAGAAGTGGGAAACGTTCAGAGAAGGACCAAAAGAACAATCAGGGGTGCGTGCCATGGCTCCCATACAAGGCTCAGCGCGCAAGTTAGGCTATTATCATTGGTCTGCAAAGATGATGGGACAGATATCTGCATACATATATCTGCGTACAGCCCTGCTCCTCACACGAGGATACCGGAGCCGGCTTGTGGCAAATTGCGCCCTGAAGGGGTGTTCCTACCCAAGAGCGCTCCGTGCACGAAGAGCTCACACGGCCCCGCCAGCAGACGGCCGGAGGAGCACAAAGAGCCGAAGACTTCTTTCTGAACACGTGGAAATCACCACCAGCTTGGGACGCCCCCGAGCTGGGGACAGCCGGGAGACGCAGTGGGACAGCGCGGGGTGCGCGCTTCCCTCTCGCGTTTCTCACAGCGCTCACTGCGCTTCTCCCAGGAAAGCCATTCTCCCACAATGCCATCTCAGCCCCCACCAAGGGGGCCGGCCTGGAGGAAAACGAACGCGGAGCGAGCGAAGAGCTGCAAAACATAACAACGGGGAAACGGAGGGGATGCGGAGCCGAGCAGCACCCGCAGCGCCGGAGAAGGGAAGGGGCCGGGGTGCTCGCTGAGGGGCGACGCCAGGAGGGCTGAGCGCAGCGCGGCTGCTGCTGCTGCGCAGCGAGGAAAAGGAGGAGGGCTGTGCTCGGCGCGGGGGCGAGACCGAGCGTCCCGAGGCAGGAGCAGGAGCAGGCTTCGCCTCCTCGCGTCGGCCGCCGCCCCGCAGCGCTGCCTGGGGCCGGCGGGAGAGGAGCGCGAGCCGCCCCGCCGCGGCCGTGCGCTCCGGCCGGGCCGGCCCCGCGCCGCCCTCCTTCCCCCCGTCACCCGGAGGCGGCCGGGCCCGCCCCGCGGCGGCGGAGGGGTCGGGCTGGGGGTGACGCCCGCGCCGCCGCCCCTCACCTTCCTCCATCCTGCGGCCGCCGCCCGCCGCCGGGGCCCCCCGCCGCTCCGCGCGGGACGGGGAGGCCGCCCCCTCCGCGCTCCGTCCGCCGCCGCCCGCCTCCCGTCGGCCCCGCGGGCGGGAGCGCTCTCGCATACCACGGCGAGCGGGAGCGCCGCGGCCCCGCACTTCCTGGCGCCGCCGCCGTGCCGCTGCCGGGCGCCCGCCGCGGGGGAACGGTGGCGGCGAGGCGAGGGAAGCGGCGGGGCGCGGCGCGGCGTACCGAGGCGGTACCGAGGCAGGCGGCGCGCTCTGCCCCGCTTCCGGGGGAAGGCGCTGCCCCTCGCTCCTGCCGGCCGCGGAGCTCTATGGAAAGGAAAACGCGGTAGCGCCGCGCTCTGCCGCCTCCGCCTGGCGGCCCGGCTGCGGCCCCGGGGCCGCTCATCGGAGGGGCGGCCGTGGCGCAGCGCTGCTCAGCGCGGCCCTGAGGGCTTGTAGCTGCCGCTCTAATGTTTCCCATTACGGCCTGCTTTTAGGGCAGGAGGTCTTGTTTGGGTAAAAGAAGGGCAGCGGACGAGCATAAGAACGCGGGGAACCCGGCGTGCCGGTTATCAGCGCCCCTGCAAAGGAGGGACTTGGGGGAACGGGGTTATTCCCCGCGTGCTGCCTGGCAGAGCCCTCAGACCCTAAGGGTTGGCACGGACAGCCGTGTGGAAGTTAACAGAAGAGCTGGGAAGTGTTGTGTTTGCTGACATGATCTCAGTCTTGGCAGGAGGAGCGATTAAGGAGTCGGTGAGGTTGGAAAAGACGAGTATGATCACCTGGTCCCACCGCCACCCCCATGGTGCCCACTGACCACATCCCTCAGTGCCACATCTCAGTCCTTGAACACCTGCAGGGGCGGTGACTCCCCCACGTCCCTGGGCAGCCTGTGCCACTGCATCACCGCTCTTCTGGGAAGGAATTGTTCCTACTATCCAGCCTGGGTCTGGGGATGCAGCACTGCCTGCAGCCAGGCTGCTGTCCTATCAGCTGCTAGAAAGCAGATTGGCTTTCTTGTCGGGCAGCTGAAAGGACAAACTAAACCAATCTGTGTATCCTGTTGGAGCGTAAAATGAGATTTATAGGTTTCCTGGATTTTTTAATAAAATTTAAAATACGTCTGCGATTGTTGATTTATTGGATAGTTAAAAGAGTTGCTTATGTTTTTAATGATCCGTAAATTACCGCTGCATTTTTAATGTAGTTGGTTTTTATCTGTTTTATTTTTTTCATAACTTGATTCTATTATAAGTTACTGGAATGAGCACAAATAATCACTGCAATCAAAACAACAAAAACAGTAAATACTTGTAATCAGACCATTAATACATGGACAGGAGCAAAACAAATGACTGTACAGTTATGCTGTAAACTTTGGTCTTCTTAAGCCTTCTTTGTACCACTGTTTCATGCTGTACCTCGTTCCATTTCCTGTGCAATGCTGCAATGTGTCCAACCTGCTCAATTGTTTGTAATTTTTTCCAAGGTATTTTGTAGGAAAATGGAAGGTAAGAGAATCAAAGATCATTTTTCATGCAAGTTTCTTTCTCTCAGCACAAATGGCCTGAAATATTTTTTCTGATTAATGTTGAAAATGTTTCTAACGCTCCTCTTCAATCTTTCAAAACACTTTCTGTAACTAGTGTTATATGCAAGTTCTTTCATTTGGCAGCTTATTATGTGTCCTAAACACAGTGCTGTAATACATTAAAATGAATAAATATAAGGATGTTGTGTACTTTTCCCAAGCTTTCTCAGTACAAGCATGAATTGCGTATCTGTGTTTTGGCATTACTCCTCTATTTACATACTATTTCCAAGCCCTGCAGACATAACTTTTCTTTTTGTTTACAAGTCCACGTTATTGATGCTTTCTAGTTTAAAAATATTTTTTCCTGTTATAGAGATATCATGAGGCAAACAATACGCAGGTGGGCTTTAGAGTAATGCATTAATATTGGGCGTATTTGTCATTCTTCAAAAGAGAAGAATCTGTACTTGTTTATTTTGTAAACAAACATACAAATATATTTTTTTCTTAAACAAAGAAAATACTTCCCATGCCTCAAAATGCTGTAAAGTTTCGTTGCAGTGACTACTGCAGGTACTTCACCTGTTTGGCCTTTCTGGGGGTTAATTTTGTGGCTGTTCTGTGATATCAGCATCCCAAGTTTTTGCTTATTTTAACTATTTTTGACCCTTTCCTCCTCAAAACTGTTTGTTCTGCTGGGATGTAAAAAATACGATCTGTATAAGGTCAAGGTTTTTCATTGTGCTGTCCCTCTGATATGGGAAATTCGAAGAATTAAGTGTAGGGAAAAAGGAAGATAATGACAGCGTGGGATCCGTGCTTAAAACCAGAACCAAGAAGTCAGAAAATTAAACCTCACAGAAAGAAATAAACTGTTTCAAACTCTGTGTTTTCAGGGTGTGATTTTCCTGTGTTTCTGTGTCCTCCTCTTGTCCTAACCCTATTTATCATGCTGGATAAGTAGGGTGTGGACAAGAAATTGTCAGGTTGGGCAGTTCTTGAAAGCATCAGGTGCATCTTCTGTGCCAGGTTATTCAGAGGTGGTTGCAGGAAGCCCTTCCATTAAGATTTTTTTATAGAACTATAGAGAACCTTTGGGATTTCTCCACTCTTTTAAACCTCTTCCTACTTTACAGTGTTTCTGATCACTTCAGCTATTGCTGCATTGCCTAGGATGTGAGTAAGTCAGATTCTACTGACATCTGCTTCATTGTAAAACTCACTTAATGCCCAGTAAATCAACAGAACTCATTTACATTTGCACTAGTGAAACCAGCTGGACACTCAGAAATGTGCTTCTAATGCTCTTCTGTTTGCTTGAATCCTCTAGTTGTAAATCTGTGGTTTGATTTCTGCTGGGGCCTTTGTAATTTTCCTTATCCCTTGTTAATTTGAGCTCACTGCAGTGTGCCAGAATTGTTCAGATTGCACAGGGCCAAGGAACCTCCAAGGAGAGCCTAGCTGCTGCTGCCCACGTTGCCATTTGGAAGGTGTTCTAGAACATTTCTGTACATGCAGCTCCAAATCGCACTGGACTTTAGGGCTGATAAATAAAAAAGCTCAAGTGCCTGCAAAGCACCGTATCAGTAATAAGGTCATGGTAAGGGGGCTATGGAAGAACTCAAAACACACATGTGTAGTTCTTTATCTATTCTATTTATTTATTTCAGCTCCCTTTTAGGGATGCGACTTGCTTTCTCTACCATTTTCCTCTCTCTACTCTTGCTGCAGTTCTTGTTTGTGCTTGCACCAACGTTCCCCAGGGCAGGAGCCTGACCCTTACATTTGTAAAACATGCAGCGTATGATGTGCCTGGCCAGAAATAGCTCTAAGGCAGCACCAGGGGCTGGTACCAGTCTTGCCCTTTGCCTGGCCTCTGTGCTGTGAGACTACAGTGCCTTGCCATCACCTCTGTTCCTCCCCACACGCCTTTTTCTCTCTGGGCCATTGCTATGACTTTTATCCAAGGATAAAGGCCTTTGAGGTGGATGACTCACAGCTTGGCACTTCCTTTGACTCACGCTTTGCCACCTAGGACATTGGTCAGCTCTTATGAAACTGCTATATATATATATATTATTGCTTATGATGACACTCACACAACACATATCTCTGATTTCACTATCACTTCTTTTGGTTCTGTACTTTTTCATGCCATTTTTTTGGTGACTCCCATCTCTCTCCCTGCGGATTTATTTGGTAGCCTCTCTGTTCTACCCATCCCCTGCAAACTGCAGAGCCTCGGGGGTCTCTCCTTCCTGCAACCCTGCTGTAGGGGCTGAATTTCTAAGGAAACAGGCAGTCTGGCCTTTTGCCACCTTGTGCAGCAACACTGCCCCTTCAGCAGCTGTCTGGCCCAGAGCAGCTCCTGGTGACACTGGTGGGATGATGGTGCAATTAGGGGCATTTCATAGTGCAGGTGATTAGGTCTTGGCAAACACTTCAGCTGGTGCAAAACAAAGAATCCAGGTCACTTCCCAGTAACAGTGCTGTCTGTGCAGGGCAGGGCTGACGTGGCTGGAAGTTGCTAATACCTCATTCCTGGCACTGACACTAGCAGAAATGATTGATTGCAGCCAGGAAGACACTCTGGGAATATTGTGCTTGTCTATTGTCACACCACGGAGAAGTGGTGCAGTGCCACCTTTCACAAATTCACATATTGGTGTCTTGTTAAAGGTACTAGCAGGCTCCCTTCCTCTGCAGACCCTGCACTTGCCCCCCTGCTCCCTGGTGCTGGCCCACCAGCCCACCTTTCTGCTTGCAGAAGGAAGGGAACTAGCACTACTTCTGGTGGGTTTCCAGATTTAAGCAGGAATGAGTTTGCCCTGACATTATAAATCAAGAAAACAACCAATAACACTGATGTGAAGCAGACACCAGATCCCTCCTGGAGAGTTGCATCTCATATTACTAAAGGACTCAAGCAGCCTCAGCAGCTGGTGCTGCTTTTCAGTGCAGTGAGTAGGAGCAGACTGCAGCAAGGGCAAAGCACAGTCCGGCCATGCACATGGGCTGCACCTATTCCTGAGCTGTTTGTTGGCTGCTCAAATTTCCTAGACAGCAGCAGGAGAGGTGGGTCAGGCATGCACTGCTCTTCAATGCAGCTTCTACCTGGGGATATTATTTGCAGCTCCCAGGCAGCACTGAAAATCACAGATGTCATTTTTGGATGTTCTGAAGAAGAGTGATTCATCTGGGAAGAGCACTTTGTTCTCTCACTGACCCATTCTCAG